TTTCCATAACTACTAATTCTAACAAATTTCTGTACATGACTTGCTTGCTCCTATCAAGAACTGCTGCCCGTTTTGCAATAGACAATCAAAATTCTCATCAATGCCCTCGCTTCCTTCTGTTTCGAGCAACCGAGATAAGTGTCCTTTCTTCCTCGCAAAAGGGCTGAATAGTGCAACGCAGCTTCCATAAATGAACGATGCAAACAAAAGATATCAAAGTGACTTCAAAAGCAAGCGGACATGATCAAACAACAGTTATACAACTACGATACTATAATAGAGAGTGCACGCAATGCCAGCGAAACTGCAATGGATATACATAGTGCATGGAGGACAACAATCATTTCACAAAGCACAAAAGCAAAACATCATAACTAGCATTCTGGCAAGTTCGCTTCGATTGCACAAATGCAATGTTTACTTACAGCGCCAATTTCGATTTTCTACATTCAGCTAAAGCACTGAAAAGACTAACTGTAGAAAGTCATAGATGCTTGAGGCGCTCACACTAAAAAGGTTTGGTAAAGAAGTAAGAAGATCCATACATACATATGTATGTAGTTGTGCTTATATGAATGCCATAAGTACTATTACAACTGGGCGCATTTGGAACAAGAAAATAAATATGCAACATACATCCACAAGTGCATAAATACATACATACATATGTATGTATGTATATCAATGTCAGGTTAAATATGCAATTACACATTCGCATTCAAATTGGAATATAAGTTATTGACCGAGTTAACCAACTCTGGACTGGATGCAATTTTTGAATGCAATGAAGTGGTTGATAAGTATAGAATCTATACTATAGATGCAATACAAAAATGTGTACATAAATACATACCTACGTAACTTTAGTATTTTGTGGACTTTTTAAGCCTACTTAACATTAGCTGCATTACCAATATTTTAGTGGACAAGTGTTGTTAAATTTGTAAAATTTTAGCCAGTAAAAAGTCATCTGTAGTAGAAACCCTACATAATTATTTTTGAATTTAATAGAAGCTTCCACTTCACGAGCACTTATGCCATCATGTAGTTAAAATGTAATCGTTTAGCTAAAGTTTATTAATTGCATGATAGTTTTGCAAATGACAGGCTGAAAAAATTAGCAACTCTAAGTACACACTTATGTACATCAGCACATACAGTCGTAACCGATTAGTTGCAATCCTGTTAACTGAATACTCCGCTTAATTGGCACGGAATATCTGGTACCTATTTTATTTTAGCATTTTCATACAAATTCGAACGGTTATTTGAAACTTCTGCTAAATGAAAAAAAAAATCGGTTTAATGAACCAACATCCATGTCCCGAGTCCGTTTAAATGCTTATTCAAAGCTGCCTTTACACAGGTCTATTTCTGTCGACAGAGAAATCGACTGAAAAATCGACCACCCTAACCACTTCAGCTGCTTTACACGGGTCGGTTTTCTAGTAGATTCTTGTCGCTCAACCAAAATCGACCAGTGTAAATGACAATTCAACCGTAAGATTTATGTGTTTTGGCTAGTCGATTTCTGAGTCGATTTTCCAGTCGATAGAAATCGATCCGTTAGAGGCAGCTTTACATCTCCACTGAACGATTTTGGTTGAACGACAAAAATCTACTAGAAAACCGACCCGTTTAAAGGCAGCTTAACTCAACTGAGTATTTAACATAAGTAAATTATAAAAATCCGGCTCACGTAAATAAATGATCAGCTGATTTCATAGAATTTTTCGAGCGAGCTGACTTTGTTCGAGTTGTGAAATTAAGGAGACAATTAGGGGATTCACAAGACGTGTTAACCGTCGTAAAATCTTAAGGTTAACATCTTTTTTAATTAAAATGGTTTTAGGGAATTTCTAACTAAACCGAAATTCTTTTAAACTGATAAAGAATATATAATTAGCCAACCCTCCAACCATTTTAACCGCTATTTTACATAAACAAGTGTTAAGCTTAAGATTTTACGACGGTTAACACGTCTTGTGAATCCCCTAAATATTCGAATAGCTTAATTCTGGTGGTTTAATAGAAGTTTGTTTAAATGGAAACTGTTGAATTTAACAAAAGTTTTGCTAATTGAAAAACTCGGTTAAATGCAACTACCTGTTTAATATGCCTTGGATTCACCCAAAAAAAAATAAATTGCCGTTTAGAGCAAGGCGAATTCATATAGCATGGTGTTACAGGATCAGCTGATTTCTAGGCGAATTGTGCTGATTGTCAAAATGATGTGTTTATTGTATATTTTTCTTGTTCTGTTTTGTCATCGTGCTTGTAATTTGTTGGTTTAGTTTTTGTGCTGTCGCCCTCACCAAGGCGAATTTATATAAGCCGGTGTTACTGGCGAACCTAGATTACAACGATAACAACCACATGTATTTCGGGTGTTATGTCAAATCTCAATTCGCCCCAAAGTTTACATGTATTTTGTTCTGCTTTTGATGGGTGTGCTGTCAATTCAGTAAAAGCAACAACAAAATACGTTTAAGGCGAAGAAATCAACTGATTTTACAACACCACCTTGTATAAATTCGCCTGGATTTAGAGCTTTCTGTAGTGATGACATAAAGCAACAAAATTCAAATTAGTTGCGATTTTCTTCTCACCGAAAATATTTAAGCTGGTCAAACGCAGCAATTTAATTGGCTGCAATGGTTCAATGGCAAAGTTTTATCGGCACGAACGATTTGAATGTGTAATTTCTGCGAGCCCTGCTTGCCGAGTTTATAGGAAACAGTACGCATATTTACATTTAAGTTTTTTCGACATTAAAGACATTAAGGTTGTTTGGAAGTAAAAATGAAAAGCAAACCAAAAAAAGGAATTAATGTGTTTGATTTTTGTTGTAATAAAACAAAAATATTACGAAAAGTTTGCAAAAGGGAAAAGAGCATTTATGGTGATATCGACCTCTCCAAAAAATATTAAATAAAAAGGAATTTATAAAAAATAAATATGTAGCATCAATATAATATGTCTTTATTTATCGAAAATTTGATTATCAATAAATTATTTTGAATTTTCGTTCCCAGCATGGTTATCCTGCTGAAAAATAAATAACAACCTCACCAAAATCCCAAAGAGCTTTGTTTTCAGCTTCACAACTCTTCTGAAATAGCTTAATATATGTGGGTATTATATTTGTATAAACATTAGGGTTGTTCAAAGATACATGTGAATGAGTAAAGTCGGAATTGTAATGCTCTCAACCCCTAGGATTTGTATATACCAAAAAAATTCTATCCCTATTTTATTTTATTTTGAAATCAAAAAATATTTAGTGGTCGCTCAAAGCGCTCATAATTCCTCATGTATTTTGTATGGGAAAAACTAATTTTCGTAGATGTGGTATAGAATTCTTCAAAATGAATATTTTTCGATTAGAAAACTTTGCTCCTCTTCAGGAGACTTCCAATAACAATTCCCAATTGTTTATTTAACCTTTTTTTAATACTAGAAATTTGTATGGGGCCCAATAAAAATTATTTTCCATCAAAAATGGCTAAAAATAATAATTGAGTATTATTACTGAAAGTCTTCTGAAGAGGAAAAAAGGTTTTCGGATCGAAAGATATTTATTTCCAAGAAATCTATCCATTTTAACGAAAAATTGTTTCTTCCCTTATAAAATACATGGAAAACTTTGAGCTCTTTAAGCGACTACGAAATATTTTTTGATGACAAAATTAAAAAAAAAAAACAAGGATATAATTTTTTCGGTATAAAAAAACCATAGGGGGTGAGAGCCGTAAAACTCCGGGTTTACTTTTTTACCATCCTAATTTAAATACTCATTTATTATTTACTTTACTACTATTAATATACTATACAATACTATTTACATATATTTATTATACTTTTTAAATAACTGTTATATAGAATTCAATGAAAACAGAGCTGCGTATTGTCTTCTTATGAGGAAATACACAAAATTATAGCACGAACTTGGTACGCCATTAGAAGAATGATATAACGAGTTATTCTACATCAATTGTTAAAAAATTCCTTCTTCTGTTTTTGTTAAGAGGGTGTTTTAAATAAAATAAAATAGTGTACGACTTCGAAAGCCGCAACGCCTGAAAACCTGCTATGAGCTTCAGCTTTATTCCCAACAATAACCCTTAATTTCATATGAAAATCTTATTCATAAGCTAGACTTTGCAATATTAAGGTAGGAACAGGAGAGACTTAGTCTAACCGGTGAATTGGTTTTTAAAAAAATTTAGTTCGCCATGATGGTATTTTTCGTAANAACCGGTGAATTGGTTTTTAAAAAAATTTAGTTCGCCATGATGGTATTTTACGTAAAAAAAAGAAGAAGAAGTAAAACATACTGCAGGAGTCAAACCAGCGCAGAAATTTGCTACTCTCCACCAAATACTAAACAAAGCAAACAACCACTTGTTGGATAATGTTAGGACGCGCACTATACCTCTTGCTCTTGGGGTACCTTGGTACAAAACTGACAGTTCAGAAGCTGCAAAAAGCCGGTTGAAACATCAAATGCCCAACAAATTTACGTTCTAAGCCCACCACTCGCACACATTTCATACAGACATACTCCAATCCTGCATGCTGTGGTCTCTGCTCAATCGAGTTTCACGCTGTCACGCTCTCAACAGCTCTCACGAGCACATTGTGCAAGAGAAATGTAGATTTTCACCACTACCGTCAACGTTAAATCTAATCACAACTCTGCGAGCAGCCGCTTTTACCTCAGCCGAGTGGCTTAGCGCAGTGATTTCGCACAGGACCTCATCTAAGAAAACCCGTTCGGAGCGGGTGAGGGGTGGTGATGGTTTCAAATTCGGCTGACACCGTTTTAACATACTCACCACAGACCGATTGGGCGTATATGTATGTAGATGACGTAGACTTCGTTCGAGGTACCATCGGCACTTTGGCATCCTTTCGCGTAGGTCCAATGCATGAGCTCGTATTTTCATGCCGATGTGCGGCCGCAAGTTGGCATATTCAGTTGGATTTTTGCTCTCTACGTAAGCAAACGTTTATGTCGCGTTTGAACGCGTTGACGCGGTCGATTTGGTGCTTTGGTAGACGATGGTCTGTCTATACGGCTGATTAATAATAAACGTGCGGAGAGCGGTGCGAGGCGGTAAAGCTGCGGTTTTTATAAAACACTCATTGCAAAGTAAAATGATATAAGTAAAAATTGCTTCATTGTTACAAAAATATATATATATATTTTCAATAAGAGAAAAAATAAATAAATGAGTGCAAATGCCCTTACTTCGACCACCCAACTGGTTTGGTGGCAGTAACATTGCAGCGTGCGTGACTTGCAGCTGAAATCTAGTCGAACAGTGCCGTGTTTCGTTCGAAATTCACAAGCTAGCTTGNCGGTTTTTATAAAACACTCATTGCAAAGTAAAATGATATAAGTAAAAATTCCTTCATTGTTAAAAAAATATATATATGTACAATAAGAGAAAAAATAAATAAATGAGTGCGAATGTCCTTACTTCGACCACACAACTGGTTTGGTGGCAGTAACATTGCAGCGTGCGTGACTTGCAGCTGAAATCTAGTCGAACAGTGCCGTGTTTCGTTCGAAATTCAAAAGCTAACTTAACGCGAATGAAATGCACGAAATAGTAAGCGAATTTTGGAAAAAAGCAGACAATCCGCGAAATCCAAAAGCAAAAACAAAGACCCAGCAAACGAATAAAAACACTTCTAGGGCATTCCAAAGAAGGTTGCTTACAAGTTAACAAACCAAAAAGAAAAAAGAAAAATAGCACAAAAACTTGCTGCAAAACCACGCTTACAATCACAGGCGAATCACCGACTGGCAATTGCATTCGTGCGTTGCGGTTGATTGCTACCATCGTCGCTGCTCAATTTATCGCTGGCATAATTGTTGCTGCTGCCGTTTGTAGTTTCTGTTGTTGTTGTTGTTGTTGTTGTTGTCGCTATTGCTGTTTGGTATTAATTTGCGTGTGAACAACTCAAAAAATTTACCGTTTCGCTTTAATTTGCCGCGAGAGTAAATTTCATTGCATACTTTTTGGCGTGCAGCCTTTTGCCGCATAACAACTTCGTACCACTTTTTCTTACAACACTTTGTATGCATTGTAAGCGTCGTAATGAACGCGAAAACGAAAATGTATTGACCATAATGTTACATTAAGTATGTATGTAGATGTTGGCTATGTCCCGGGGTAAGCTGCAAGCGGTATCCCTTCCGACATTCGGGCAGCAAATGGTTTACCATGCGTGAGAAGTAAGTTGTTAGTGAAAATAAAAATCCAGAATTGTCGCTGGCAATCTTGCCAATCAAACGGCATTTGTTTCGCAAAAAAAAAGAAAAAGCAAAAATAACAACAACAACGATGACAGCAACAACTCAACGACAAGCAGAGCAGCAGTTCATTAGCCCCTTGGACAAACAGCGGCGAAAGATGCAGCAGCATTAAAAAAAATAAAAGCAAGTGTTGATGTTGAAATTAACTCCATCGCTTCGCATTTGCCGTTGAGAATCGCAGCTTTTGGCTTTTGGCTTTTGGCTGCCGCCTCTGGCCTCGGTTTTGGCTGCAGCTTGCAGGCTGTGTTGGTTTTAATTTGCATTTCCTCAACCAGCTTGAGTTTACGTGCCGCATGCAATTGCCAACGCGCCCGCGTGTGTGTGTGTGTGTGTGTGTGTATGTACCCGTGCGCGTATGTGAAATATCTACCAATTCGTGTACGTTGTGCGTGTTTTCGGCATTCATTAAAACACATACTACTAAATGTATTCAATTAAAGGAGAATACAAAATTTTTAATCAAACACAGACGCCAAGCAATGCCAATGAATCTCTTAAAGTGTTGATAGTAATTTACTTGTGTTTTATTTATTTTATTTTTTCCCGCGTATTATTAGTGAGGTGACTGTCGAGAGCTAGNATCTCTTAAAGTGTTGATAGTAATTTACTTGTGTTTTATTTATTTTATTTATTATTAGTGAGGTGACTGTCGACAGCTAGTTGAAAATACAAACCACTTTGAATTGAGATCAAGAAATTAAAAAAAAAAGGAATTACGCACACTGTGCCGTTTTGCATTTATTTGTGGAACATATCAACAAGCAACAGCGCAATCTAATCAAATTTCGAATTAATTAAATTTTAAAAAGTAAGTGTTTTGTTGACTTCTGTGACGTAAAATTTAAGAATACAAAAAAAAAGTAAAAAATTAAAAACTCAAAGTTTTTTAGTAATGTGTTGAAGACCTGTTTCTTCATTTTAGATCCGAGATATTGTTTGCAACTTATATTTAATTATCTATTTTTAAGAACTCCAAATTAAAATATCTCTAATATCTCGATCTCTAATAAAACCCATGAAAACACAAATTTAAAATTTTTTGTAAGCCATAAAAAAGTTTAACAAATTTTCGCCCAAATTTTATACTTTTTTCCATGATAAAAATATAGTAAGGTAGAACCGCTGAGAGTCTTTTTTACAATTCCTGACGTTTCCAAACAATTTAATTTTTAAATTTACTCACAAACTCACACACAAATTTTCATTTTCAACAATTTCGAACAATTTCAATTTTCTATTTTCACTTTTATATAATTTTAAAATATTGGCAAACTTCAAAAAAAATATCATGGCCGACAAATTGAGAGAACGGTTCTACCTGGCTATGTTTTTATCAGGCTTTTTTCTTTAAATTTTAGTCTGATAACACGGTGCGACAAAAACCAAACATTTTTAAAACACGCGAAAAAATCAATATATTCACAAAACTAGGAGCTAAATGTAGTATAGCTGCGTTTTTAATTTTTCTATCTGACGTCAGGCTTTGTTTTTAAAGGACTTTGAAATTTCTATGATAAGATTGAATAAAAAAAAACAAGTAAGAGCAGCGCTGTCTTCGGCCGAAGCTTTCATACCTTTCATGAGCATCTGAAAATCTGACTTTAACAGATTTCTGCATTTGAAAAGATTTATATATTCACAGCAGGCATAGATAAAGGAGATACATATATAAAAAATCATATCTAAACAATCAGAGGTATGGAAGATATACTTTATATGGCACAAATCTCAGTGATTTTCACTTTTGCTGTATGATCCGTATGTAAACCGGTAACACAAGTTAGTGGGTTTTGTTTCCTAAATAAAGGAGATATATCGCAAAGACTGGTATCTGAACAATCAGTGGTATAAGAGATAAAGCATAGATTTTGATGATTTTCTCAGTAGACTTTGTATTATTATTTATAAAATATCTTACGAAATTTATCGGTTTTAGCTGTTCAAATAAAGAAGTTTTACAGTAAAATCCCATATCTGAACAATCAGTTGTATGGGGGCAATGAATAGGTTATAGTGACCCGATCTTTGTTAATTTTAATGTAGACTTTCTGTTGATAACTAGTGAAAATAGTTCGAAATTTCAAGTTTCTAGCTGCATATATGGAGAAGTTATAACAAAGAATCTCGAATCTGAACAATGAGTTGTATGGAGGCTATATGTAAAAGTGACCCGATCTTTGTTATTTTCACTGTAAATATTCTGGTGTTAATGGGTAGAAGTATTGCAAAATTTCATGTTCCTAGCTGCATAAATGGAGGAGTTATAACGAAAATTCTCATAACTGAACAATCAGTTGTATGGGAGCTATATGTAATAGTGACCTGATCTTTGTTATTTTCACTCTAAGTATTTTGATAATAATGAGTGAAAACGGTGCGAATTTTCAAGTTCTTAGCTGCATAAATGAAGAAGTTATGGCAAAAAATCTCATATCTGAACAATCAGTTATATTGAGGATATAGGTTATAGCTACCCGATCTTCGCCATNAGTTTTACAGTAAAACCCCATATCTGAACAATCAGTTGTATGCGGGCAATGAATAGGTTATAGTGACCCGATCTTTGTTAATTTTAATGTAGACTTTCTGTTGATAATGACTGAAAATAGTTCGAAATTTCATGTTTCTAGCTGCATATATGGAGAAGTTATAACAAAGAATCTCGAATCTGAACAATGAGTTGTATGGAGGCTATATGTAAAAGTGACCCGATCTTTGTTATTTTCACTGTAAATATTCTGGTGTTAATGGGTAGAAGTATTGCAAAATTTCATGTTCCTAGCTGCATAAATGGAGGAGTTATAACGAAAATTCTCATAACTGAACAATCAGTTGTATGGGAGCTATATGTAATAGTGACCTGATCTTTGTTATTTTCACTCTAAGTATTTTGATAATAATGAGTGAAAACGGTGCGAATTTTCAAGTTCTTAGCTGCATAAATGAAGAAGTTATGGCAAAAAATCTCATATCTGAACAATCAGTTATNATGTTCCTAGCTGCATAAATGAAGAAGTTATGGCAAAAAATCTCATATCTGAACAATCAGTTATATTGANATAACGAAAATTCTCATAACTGAACAATCAGTTGTATGGGAGCTATATGTAATAGTGACCTGATCTTTGTTATTTTCACTCTAAGTATTTTGATAATAATGAGTGAAAACGGTGCGAATTTTCAAGTTCTTAGCTGCATAAATGAAGAAGTTATGGCAAAAAATCTCATATCTGAACAATCAGTTATATTGAGGATATAGGTTATAGCTACCCGATCTTCGCCATTTTCACTGAAAATATTCTCTTGACAAAATTTCATGTTCCTAGCTACTTAAATGGAGCAGTTATAACGAAAATTCTTATATCTGAACAATCAGTTGTATGGGAGCTATAGGTTATAGTGACCCGATCTTTGTAATTTTCACTGTAAGTATTCTGTTGATAATGGGTGCAAGTACTGTAAAATTTCATGTTCCCACCTGCATAAATGGAAAAGTTATAATGAAAAATCTCATATATGAACAATCAGTTGTATGGGAGCTATATGTTATAGTGGTGCGATTCTTCCGGTTCCGACAAATGATTAATACATTATAAAAACACACCCACCTACCAAATTTTATCCGGATATCTCGAAAACTGAGAGACTAGATTGTATACAAACAGACGGACAAACAGACGGACAGACATACGGACAGACGGACAGACGGACATGGCTAAATCGACTCAGCTCGCCGTTCTGATCAGTTAAGTAAACATTTTAATGGGTCTATCTCTTCTTATTCTGGTACTTACAAACATCGGACCAAAGTTATAATACTATTTTATGCTCATTTAAGGTATAATAATTTAAAAGATTTGGTGCATTGTAGAGTAACAATATGGGTATCAATTAAAAGAAAAAATTGTGTAGAATTAAAAAAAAAAATACTTTTTCGTGCACCAAGACGTTGAAAATGTCCTTTTAAAACATTATCGTTGAATATACTTGGAAATTTCCAATATTTATTTTTGAAAAAAAATATATGTCAAGGACTAATATGTAAACTACCACATGCTCGAATTTCGTCCTTCTAACTTTATTAGTTTTAGATAAAAAAAAATTTACATTTATTTTTATAAGATATTGATATTTACAATATACATAATTGAAGATACTGCAATCATTACAAAATATTTTAACAAAAATCGCCAAAATGGAAAACTGTACCTTTTTACCAACTCTGCTGCTAACATTTGTCGTTTTATTCCAAGCATGCCCAGCGCTGAAAAAATTGTTGCACTTGCATATGGAGTTCTGCCATCCTTGGCTGTTTTAAACATTGTCGTTGATACGAACGAAAGGATTGCTTTTGACTGTTCTTCCACTTAAATATGTCAAAATGTAGTATTTGTAATGGCAATTGGTTCATTACAAATCTGATGGCAGCCCAACATACTTAACCCTGCTTTGATAATCTACATACGTCTGCATTTTAAAATTTCGCGCTCTCTTTCTGGAAACATATTGGTTGTTTTGTTCCTTTTTAATTAAGGGAAAAGTCTAAGGAAAATACATATGAAAGTTAAATAAATATTTTAAGAACCCGTATCTGCAAAATGAAATTTCATTGCCCATATCGCGAAATTGAAACGTCTCACAAATGTATGCATATCTTCTCAGCAACTTTCAGTTAAGTTATCAAAGCGGGGTTAAAGCATAGAAAGGGAGCAACATTTATCTCGACCAACTCGTTAATTCAGAAATAACTTCAGTTAATCCGGAAAAAGTCCTGCCGGTAATTCTCAAAATTTAATGCGGATCAGGGAAATTTCCGATGACAACCCTGGCCAAAACGACGAATTTGGTTGAAGAAAGCCGTATTTTAAACGAAAATACATTGAAAATGTGCTGAGATAGGGCGCTTTTGAATCGACAGCTGAGATAGGGCGTTCTTCAACCAAATTCTGAGATAGGGTGTTTTCAATAAAATATGGCGTTATCGAAAAGTTTTTTGAGATATGGGCGTTTTCGAACTGGCTGCCGAGATAGGTCGATCTTCCACTCAGCCATCGATATGTAGTTTTTACTGTCGCTATCTTGAGTTTACACGTATTTAACTTGGGTCGTACGCGTCTTTTTACCACCAGTCCCCTTAACATCTTGCCGCCCTAGGCCCGGGTCTTAGGCCAAATCCGCCACTGGTATTACCCATGTTCAATATGGCCGAAAAGTTGACGGCTACTTTTTTTGTTTCAAAAACCACAAAATTCCTTTACAAGAAATAGTAAAATATTACTCAGGGAGTTCTTCTTCTGCGCGAAAATGCGCGCCTAAAACTTAACGCCTTTACATTTTTTCCAAGATTAAAAAAGTGATCTTGGAGAGAAATAATGATTGAGGAGTAGATCCAACTATGTCTGCGTATTTTAAGGATGGTTACAAATTTGTGTGGTCTTTTTTTTGTGGTACATCTATATATGTATGTATATTAATATTTATTATATTTATTATATATTATAATTTAATTTCGAAAAAAGTGTATGGCTTTTTTGCATTCTACGTTCGATTCTAAGCCAGAATTGTGAACAAACTAAATACCAAAAATGACGTTTGAACCTCCCAAATTTTAAAAGAAAAATCAGTGTATTATAATTTTTTCTCAACGAAATCATTTTTTTTCATTTACAGAATTTTGTGTTTTCTTCATAAATATATT